ATTAACGCGTCGGTACTTATCGATCGAGTAAAATATTTCATATGTATCGACCGACTGTTTTTTTTTCTCTATCCACCGTCCATTATATTTTTATATTACTATTATTTAGTTGCCTTTTTTTTTCTTTTTTTTTTTTGTACCTATATGCGTGTACGTACAATATTTGTTGGTGCGGACTAAGGTGCGGTCATTTGTTACTCACGGGTTCTGCCATTACCGATAAATACCAAATCGAATGGCCGGCGAATGTCCGTCCGACCGCCTTCGACAATAGTAGTACTTAATAGGTAATAACAATAATAATAGGCGATGCGATGATGATGTACAGCAGCGGCTGCTGCTGTAACTCGCAGTCGATACGATAAACACGGTAACGATTTAAGCCCAATGGGAAATTCAAAAATAAAACGCTTGGTGTACCATACTTGCACGGTGATTGGCGGGCAAATCGATAATTGAGCCGGCGCATTGATCATCGCCGATGTGGCCGAGTGAAGTGTACCGTAGGTGTACAATATTATACGGATCATGATCAATTCAACGCGAGACGATATTTTTTTTAAACTTTGTGAATTACAACGGATAAGAAAAAGAAAACCTAGTTGTTTTCTCCGCTCCACGGATAAAACATTTAATCACAGATACGTTATCTCTTAAAATTGATCACTTATCACTTAAACCTTACCTTTCATCACTTATATCTTACCTCTTATCACTTATATCTTACCTCCTACATCTGACTGAAAGTGAAAGTGTAACGCTAAAATGGTGACATGAAATTTCTTGTGTCCACCCCAACAACGTATCCATGTTAAAATGATTCATGAGCTCACAGATGAAATTTGGAAAAAAAAGGACTAGCGATTTAGAATTTTTAAACACTTAAAAAAATTGGTTGTTTAATTATTACCTCAACTAAATTACAATATCAATCCGGTGTTCTTAAAATCAAACGATCGATTTAAGATATTTGAATTCGAATGAAATAAAAAGGTCACTAAAACAATGAAGAGTACCTTTTTTTTTTTATTATTATTATTATTTTTTTATTATACGCCCACAAATTGTAACACTAATAACGACATTTCATACGGTAATTGAAGAGTTCGGAGCAACAATCAAGACGAGAGGCCACAAGATGTGTAAATAGTTTAAATACAATCCCCCACTAAAGCTTCAATAACTTTTTTAATTGTATATTTATGTAATAGCTTCATTCTAGATCTACTTTCGGTTTAATTTTTAGACATTAAAACTTCACCTAAAAAAGCGAAATAAAGAATAAGTTTCTACCCCTTCTAGAGAAAAAAGCTATGTCTAAAGTGTATTCCACACAAATTTACTCATTTTTTTTTAAAAAGTAATAGAGCGTCGTAATTTTAAATTGAAAAATATGTAAAATTGTTTGGTGTTTTTCCCGATTTTAAACTTTTGGTCCAATAAAGTACTTTCCAGCTACGATTTCTGGTCTACAGAGTTGCTTCGTGAAGAAATCGATTTAGCGACTTCGACCATATTATGGTTGGTTCAGACACACAAAATAAAAACACATCATTGTAAAAACAATACCTTCTCAGCTCCGCATCGAAGCTAAAGTTCCTGAAATATCTTGGAAATAGTAAAAATAAACTACAAAGTTGTAATGGTTTTGTAAAGGGAACCGTTGTCTTATGTTAAATTATTCGTCCTGTATAATGTTATATTCGAGATGACTGCCGTTTCTCCTTATCCACAGTCCATCATGGATCTTGATGGGATAATGGGCGAATCGTCCATATCTTAAATCCCCATAAAACGAAAATTTACCGCGCCGTGACTTTAGGGGGGAAAAACTATAGTATAACACAATAAAGAGCATGTTATTATCGGCTAACCGTAACAATATGCCGGCAATTTCGTTTATTATTATGTAGTATTATTATTACTACTATTTGTAGGTACCCGAGTAAACGGTCATTGTGCGTTTAGGTTTGTGTATAATAATAATAATAATAATATAATAATATGAGAACTGTGCGATTCTCGACAATCGGTGACAAACGATTGACACGAAAAAAAAAATATTAAAAAAATACATATATAATATGTACATGAATGTATTTTCATAAAAAAAAAATTATTTCCTTTCATATGAATATATTTTATTACGGTTTGATATCAGGTATGTCCGCGATGCCAATTATCGGGTAATGTGGGACGTTTTCTTCTGCGGCTCGGCACCGCTCGAACGCGAAAAATATAATTTATTATGATTAGACCCTATTATTGTACATTACATTGGGTATGTCGCATTATGTATAGCGAACTACTTGCCGGCGTAGGTACACGGTTTGCCGGTAAAGACGTTAGCGGACGGGCATATCGCACGGTGCGGTTGCGGTGATCAGTCGCCGAGATGTCGAGACAAGTGTGCGGTTCGCGTTAAGTTTACCCGTGCGGTAGTCCAGCCCTCAAGTGCTCACAGTCGAAGGAAACTTACACTTAAACACAAACGATCGCGTCGACGGAAATTCACCGGTTTTCGGATTCGAGGTAATCTAGTCACCTAACCGTTTCCTAGTCCATCCTGGTGATTTATGGTAATAATCTGGAATAAGGAAAGTGTCTTTTTTTTTTTTTTAATCAAAATTTAACTTTTTAGTGTAAAAAATTAGGCTCACCGTCGCGCACGCGAAAGCTAAAAAAAATTGCACACCTAGTTCGATTGTCTAAATGTTCATAATTCGTGGCCAAATTTAGAGAGTTCTAAATCTAGACAAATAATATTTCTAATGCTAACCGACGATGCTATTCGAATAATATGAGATATCTAACTAATTTAAAAATAACAACTCCGTTACTTTCGTTAACCCGTTCACATTGTGTACTTTATGGGTAACTTGAAATAGATTGGTCTTCCTTGCGTTATTTGTTTCAATCTTATTTCATAGTTGTCTTAAAACACCACACCTCTTTTTCACTTTATATCCCCATCCGACCAAGCTCAACTGATCCAAATACTCTTCTCTATTCACCACTTGCTCTCCAAGCATAACCGGTTCCCTATCTCCTCCTGAAAACCTCCCGTTTACTAAACTTAAACTCTAGGTATTCAATTACGGACCCATTTGTTGTAAGTCAAATTTATTAAAAAATAAAGTCTTTGCACCTGTTACACCCATTTTGCAAAGCAGTGGAATTCTTTATGCTTTTTAAAACGTACAAATTATAAAAACGCGATTTTACGATTTCATCGTATAAAGTATGTACTATATACATATACACATCGTAGCAACAGTTATGCCTAGTATTGCCGTTTAGCCATTTAGTAATATTTATTTCGACGATTTTCGAAAGACGTACAAAACTCTTTTCCTGAAAATGAAAAATATATCAAAATGAATTCGGCTTTCAGATGGTGGGTCCGACTGTCTAAACGGGAAATTCAAGAAGATTTTTTCTATTTAAACGTAAACCAGCTGTTGTTCTAGTTTGTGTTCAAGCGAAACCAAACAAGTGTTAATTACATACATTATGATTAACGCAATTAGGAGACCGATTAATCCACAGTAAAGCATTTTACGTTTATATGAACGATATAAAGTTGTATTAAAAAATATTCGAAATTGTGAAGCACATTATACACATTTAAAAATATTTTATGTAGTTTTTCTATAAATATCGTGTGTAATCATTATTATTTGTTTATTTTAATTAATGTTTAAAGTTTTGTATTATGTATGAAATATTTAATAAAGTTTTAATAAATGGGATTTAAAAAAAAATAAAACTATGTTTTATGTTTATAAAAACAACGTTATTAAATTAATAAATGTATGCGCTTTGATCATTATAATATTTTAAAAAAAGACAATATTTGGACAATTTTTGAAAAAGTCGTTGAACATTTCGAGCTCTAATCTATGTACATATGTAAGCCTAATGTTATATTATACTGGCCATGCTACGCTTCACCATTGGATTTGAAGTCGAATGAATACAGATAACCAAATCGGATAGCAATTACGGCTCCATAGGAAAACGAATTTGTATTAAGGCCCCTTATTATCCTTTCTTATAATTTATATCAAACTCTTTTTGTTAAAAACTGTGTAAACCCTGTAGACTTTGCACTCACACTTATAAATACAGTTCATAGAGGAGTTTCCATGCAAAGCATGACTATACATCTGTTAGATATCTTATTATTCAACGTAAAGGCTTCTGGTTGGGGTTATAAAACATGTACCATAAATTACTGTCAGGTTTGTTTTAGGTTAGATTTAGGTAAAATTTGAATTAGATATTATGTATGGTTAGGTTAGAGTTACGTAAGACTATTTTAGATTTAGGTAAGATTTGGTTTAAATCGGTCCGGTTGAGGTTAGTTTTGGATTAGATAGGTTCTGACTATCCGACTTAAGGGATGAATTTACTAGATTAGAAAATCGAGTTCATAAGGTTTTATTATGTGAAATATCCTTGTATATTTCAACCGTGAGTATACATTAGCAAAAGCATATTCTATGTATTCCAAACCTACTCAACTCGAAGAGAGAAGATGACAAGATAGCGGGTGGGGGGAGATGTGGAAGCTCGCATTGCAAAAGCTAAAGGACCGAATTATTTTGAATCTTCTTCTTCTTCTAAGGCATCTTAAAGACCATTGAGACCTATCGCCGCAACAACAGCCTCCTTCCACTTCTCCTTGTCCATTAAAAATTCCTCTGCCTTCTCATCATCTTGAGGTCTCCCTTGATTCTATCAGCCAAACGTTGTTTGGGTCGTCCTCTGGGTCGCTTTAAGTTCGTTCTCCATCTTGTTATGCTTCCCAGTATTCCTTCAGATCTCCATACGTGACCGGCCTACCTTATTTGTTCCTATAATATTGGCTTCTCCACATGAACTTCTCAACTCTTCATTTGTCCTAACTTCAAATTCACCTTCTGCGTTCTTTTTTGGTTCAAACATTGTCCGAGTTATTTTGAATCTAAATAATTGTAAAATGTTGTGTCCCGCAGCATCTCCCACGACGATTCCGGTCGGGGCTACCGGGCGAACGTCTTTGGCTTCTTCGCCGTCGCCACCATCTCCTTCGCCGGCCACTCTAAGGGAACTTTACGCCATGGCGGCAAGCCAACAACACCAACAGCACTCCCGACTCCTCGAGCTGTCCAACCGGTACCATCGATACCCGGAGATCGCCCATCACGTTTTCAACCAACAAGGCGCCGTCACTAAACTACTCGGTAAGTACACACACAATAATAATAATAATAGTACCTACCCGTGCACGTCGTACATACGACGTAGGTATAATAATATAATATAATATTGACCGGGCTATTATAATAATATATACAAGCGCCGAGTGTTCTTCTACTCGATAGGTACTCCCTCGATTATTGTAATATCGTTATGTAGGTACTACGACGCTGTCTGTGTATGATATTGTATACACACGTTGTTATTATATTCCATATTACAATACGGTACACGGATTTCGCATAGCATCGTTGTTATACACAATGATAATCTTATAAACATGCGCACTTGAGAGATGCGTCGAGTACCTATGTACGCGATACGGCCCCTCTCGAATCGTTATGATTACAATATGTCCGTTTAGAATATTATAATACAAACGTGAACATAATAATATATATATATATATATTTATCTATATTTGTTTTCGGAGAAGAGCTTAAATAATATTGTTATAAAATCGACAGTTGTGTAGGTACACACACGAATGTGAAACTATAGAACACGAGATAGTATTATGTTATGCGGTTTAAAGGACCGCCTGACAATAGAAGCCAAGTGTAAATAAATACAAATAAAGTTGATAAACAATAAAATAGAGTTGTATTTCTTTTTACAAGTCGCCATAATGTCGTGTTATCGCTATCATACCCCCTTATCGTCACGTCTCTATAAATAACCACTGTTATCACTATATTATCTCTTATCAGTGGAATTTCTTTATTGTATTTGGGGTTTTCCGAACAAAAATATACATTTTATTTTATTTTTTATTCAGAGAAAGCGAAGGGTTCGCGAGAATAAATTAAGGAAACATACAAGTAAATGTCAGAAAACCGTGCGTGCTTGTCCGGTCTGACTCGGTGTGCGCCAGTGAGCGACCCTGAGTGTTTATCGTTGTTGTGAGACAACAATACAGTTATTATACTTTACAATTTGAGTAAAACCGCAATAGTTTCCGCACAGGACTTCTTCGAATGTTATTATAACGTAATTGCTATAATTATTATTGTGTAACGACGGTTAAATTAACTTTAATCGTTTTGTTGTGCTCGCGCCGGAGCAGTTTGTGTTTTGTTTTGTCTCTTTAAATCCAATTTTCCCATCCAACGACAGAACTAAGTGAACTCCGGCAGTAATCTGGCGTGTACTTGTGTAAAATTTCATTATTATTATTATTATTGTTACGTGACATTGCTCTGGTCTCTATGAAGTAAACTTAACAGCGGCGCAGTTGGAATAAATTAGATAGGTACATACGCGGGACGGACATTTTGTTTTTTTTTCCGGTCAACCGGTGCGGTGGTTGGTTTCTCCGGTAACACAATAATGCACATTGTCGTAGGACTTAGGTATTTTCGAAAACAATTATTACTTGACCTTAAGGCGGTGGCGGTCGTATACGAGTACACGATATTATTGTCGAATAGCACGGCCGCCACCTGTTTGTACGGGTTAGGTATACGACCAACGTTAATGTGCAAAATTATATTGGTCGAATTAGACGATACACGGACTGCTGGTCAAGGCTCGGTTTACTTGGACGTGGTCTCTTAAATCCTATACGGATAAGCCACATCCTATTGTTAAAAATGGCAGCGGCCAGCGTGCACTCGACCGGAGTGAAACGTTATGTAGGAAGGAGGAGGTTAGGTTCCCACATACCTACGTTTACCCCCCACCGGAGTGCTGCTCGTTAGCTGCTGCCACTAATAACAATAGGTTGGGCACACGCGTGTCTATTGTAAAAATCGATGGCGTTTAAGACGTAAAACAAAAGCTGGGCCTGAATCGTTTCGCTTAAGAATACATTTTCTGACCGTTTTCTTCGACTGCCTACCGAAATTCCAAATGTTAATTTAATATTTCTTAGAGAGATTCTTAAAAAAAATATCCTGTCACTATTTCGTCAAACAACAAACCAGAATTGTGAAAAAAATAAGACAAAAGTTACAGTCAGAAAACTAAATCACGAAAATAAACTATTTCACCAAGTCATCCAGAATAAACGTTTTTTTTTTATTTTTTATTATTAACTGTTGAAAAATATATTCGTTAAGTTTTAAATCGAAATTCCTAGTATTTAGGCACTTCTTAATTATTACACAGAACATCGCTGTCATCATAATCCTGTAGCTATTCCAACTTGTAACAAAGCGTTATCTTTTGCAATTGGTAAATTTTTATTTTTATTTAATCATGCTTTTAATTTGACTTCAAAGAACATTAATTATTGATACTTACATGCAGTCATTCTTTGATGATCAATCGAACGATGAATTTCCTCGAGCTTTGATGCAATCCATTTGATTGTACCGAAGCAATTAAACATCTTACAGCTGTAATTGAAACTCCAGGAGCTCGCAATCAGTCGATTATAAATTCTTTAATCAAACGAGCTTGTGTTGAAATTTTACAAAAACAAATGAAAAATTCACCTGAAGATTTCAAATAGTTAGGAGGGTCATTAAAAATACTTGGACAAACATAAAAAAACAAGATTGTGTGGAAGATTTATGTCCTATCGGGGTAATAATAATATTGAGTAATTAGTTTACACCTGGTGCTTAAGATTGAGATTCGTACCATAAGTAAATGAGGATTCTGTCAGTACTTTGTATGTTATTTTAATATTTAGGTCTTGGCCATTTGAAGGTATAACAAAGTTTTCTTGTTTTCCCGTTGCTCGTGAATTAATATTAATATGCTCTACCCGTTTTAAATTACATACCCAAGTATTTGGCGGTAAAATGATATTTTAATTCATTATTACAGAAGCGTTAGCCGTTTTTTCGTTAGCGCGGTTGGCTGAATGTAATAAAATATCCGGTCTATGTTTGGGAAATCATACTGTTGCCTATACGAAATGGTCGACGACCGCGCACGATAGAAGAAGCAGAAGGCATAATTCCTTCAAGACATATGTCCACCACGCTCCGCCTATTTCCCTGTACCACCGGCTTTGTTTGTTTTGCATTGGCTCGCCGACGAAACGAATTCGTCGGGAACGAGTGTAATTCGATTTAACATACAGCAGTATAATATAATATAATAATATTGTAGACAGGTAGCAGCTAATTGCCTGGACTAGCCGCTGTCGGTGTGACAATCATTCTCACGTTCTGTCTTATCCGTTTTTCTCGAGACGTGTGTGCCCAACAGCGTGACAAAGCCGACATCACACACACACACGGCCAATGGTACGCGTTCGCTCACACATAACGTACCTACACGTTTATAATGACTACAATAATAATATACCGCGTTGCGAATACAGAAAAAGAATGTCAATAACAATAATATGTAATCGCAAAAAAAAAAAATGTAACGCTATTAAATTGCTCGGCGATGCAAATTCAATTCAACAGTAATAACACCCGAAGCGGACGGTCACCTACATACATGTAATAACATAATGTTAATATAATAACAATATTATTAAACATGAAGGTATATAATACGGGACTCGAAACGGAAACGACGCTTTGAACGAATGTCGAATACGACAAATCAAACGGTACACCTATAATAAATAGCGACAATAGTACCTATATGGATTAAGCCAGCCAACAGGATTTTCAGGTGACCGACCTGAGGTGGTCTGTATTAACGGTGCTATTTCTTCATTCGTAATGTTTGTTTGTAGATACAATAGATGAGGCAAACATAATTGGCTCGATTTTAAAAAAAAAATTATACTTGTGATGTCTCAAACCCACCCGTTTGGCAGCTTCTGCTAACAGCGCTCTAGCTGCATCTCTCAATACAATCATGTTTTGTAGTAAGTCTTTGGAAATCGAAAATCTATGGATTTTTGGGATTGAGTTCAACTGTTTTTCAAAAACAACTTCAACTATCTTTTCGTCGCAACAATACCTATGTAATACACTACTGAACTAGTAAGATCAATAACAGGTGGTCCACAAGCTTTTTGTGAAGTCCGAAGATATTGCGCAATCTGATCACCTGTCATAGTTGGGTCATCCTCAAATGTCCCAAGTCGTTGGAGAGATTCAAGAACGACGTCGGGTTAACTTGCACTCTCAGCTTGCACAGCTGAGGTAGTGATATTGGAATCAAACGATCAGGACGTGCCAATCACAAGACAAGAACTTAACATAATTAGAGCAACAGAAATGCTCAAAATTGTCAATTTGCCGGTGAGTCTTTTAGAGCATCGTCTGAGATCTGTTATTAAATGAGATCCTTAAGAATTTTTGTCTTGAGGCGTTGACGATAGGTCAGAGTAGATCAGAGGTCTTATTTTTTGAGGATACCATCCATAGTGGTGGTTGTTTGATCCAATCTGGAGACCAGACCAGGCAAGGATACGTGAATATGATTTCAAGATGAGTCAAAGTAGAGACGAGATTAGGCGATTAGGGGAAATTGATAATTCCTGGATGGCTGACGGACAACTGACTGCTCGTAAGAGACATTGGTTGACGATCTAATGTCGAGGAGATAATTATTGAATTTCGTTTCCTGAATTCGTGGAGACCGACTTAGGCTCTGGCGACTCTTCTGTTTCTGGATTCTACGGGAAGGCCGCTGTTGGGGAAAATCCATTTTTCATACTTTCATCATACATCAACCATAGCGCTCATTATAATTTTGTTATTTCCATTCGGATGTACTTGTGTGTGCGTAGGTGTACGATAACGTTAGAATTACAAAGTCATCGGAACGTGACTGGCAGAAAGGTCACGTTAATTGTGCGACCATAATATAATTCATTGACAAACCGAGAACAATGTGGATATGTAAGAGATGCGTGCGGTTTGATACGGACACCACCAACATATTCATTCAGACTCGACGTCAAATATAATAATAATAATAATAGGTATAATGGCGTACGTTGGTAGCAAAACGCGGAGAAACCATTCAAAGAGGAGTGATGTTGGTAAAAAAAATTACATATATATTTATATCTATATAGATAGCTTTCGATAAAGCGATATGACTGATAACAATAATTATT